TAGTTCGAAACAATGAAAAGATTTCTTGGCCAAAAACGATGACAAAGTACGAATCATCTATTAGACTCAGCATCGCAAACTCATTGTTTTCATTTTCAAACAATATATATCTGAAAGCTCCAATAAATCATTTAAATTGATACACGTAATGAAAGCAAACAATAATCTGCTAATTCTCGGCTATATATTAAATATTTAAGTTTTAAGGGCAATCATTTGAAAGCGACGAAAAACAACCCGAATTAATCATATTTCAATACGCCACTATATATTTGGCATATTCAATGATGGAGATTCTTTTTACAATATTGATTTCAGTTAATAGGACTGAGAAATATTTATTTGCTTCTTCAAACATTGGTAAATGTAAGGCAACTGTCAGTTAAGAATCATAGTAGTTGCAATAAACATCTACAGATCATATCAAATTGTATCATTTGAAGTGATGACCTTTTGAACCAAACTGATCGTTGAATTTCGGTGCGGACTTATCAAAAATTGATCCTCAATTCTTCAATTTCCTATTGTTTTCCCAGTTTAGCATATCTTAAAAATGATTGAGCGCGTCCTGATTAAAGTCTGGGCCTTGATCGTTTTCGTCGCGTTCGGGATTTGCATCGCCGCAACTATAAGCTGTGACTGGTTGGAGGGGATAGCAAACTACGAAGCTCAGTCCTCTAAACAAACAGGCGGCGAAGGTGGGACCTCCCAGTCTTCGACCGAACCCCCCACTCTAAGTCAGGGGCCGACAAGACAATGCTCGTACATCAACGGAAACAAAAATGGAAGCAAGAGTATCACAGATATGGTGATGGAATCAACAGGAGCTTCGTTTTGGAGTGCGGCAACATGGACACTCGGCACATCTTGCTTTTTCGGATTTATAAGTTGTATTCTAGGCATCATAATTCTTCTTTCGTGTTCGAAGTACTCGGACGATATGATTTCACGCATCCAGCAGTTTGTATGCATACTCGTAGTCGTCTTGCAACTTGTAGGACTCTGTACTTATCTAGCGGGTCTGGAAAACGAGTTCACAAAAGGAAAATGCGGTAAAGATTTGGGTTATTTCAACCCTGGCGACTGCACGTTAGGAGATTCTATCTACCTGTTGCTAGTATCTATAACCCTGAACACAGTTGGCATTGTAATATCGTTTGTGATTTGCGCCATATCACGAATCAGAGCCGGAGTTGAATCGGTTCAAAGTGGCATAAAAGTCGCCAAAAAAGTGGGTGGTCATGATTCGCCAGACGGAAAGAAAAATGGCAAAAAGAACAAAGAGAAAGGTCAACGGAGTCCAAGTGATGACAAGAGGACTATGCAGGACTGGTCGGAGCAGGAGAAACAGGAGTTGTGGGAGCAGATGAATGAGAACCCGGAGGTTGCCAAAGTGTTCCAGCAGATACTGAGTGGACCAGCATCCAGTTCAGCTCACCATAGTTCAAAAGTTTGATGCTGGAAACTAAACTCAAAAAACTGAAAAATATTTGCCATAAAAGCATCAAATGCTTCAATATCATATAATTTTAGAAACTCCTAAGACTAAAAACTTTACAAATGTTTTTTTTTTCCAAAATATAATAATCAAATTACCATAAGAGTCAGGTTACGATACCTGACTTGCATGAGTTTTGCAACCGTAAAAAGTAGTCACAATAAAAAAAAATCTTTTTTTGGAGTGTTTCGTTGTAAACATCAAATATTTCCAGTGCTCCAGAAAATGAGATAAAAAATGCTAAGAAAACTAAATAAAGGCAGAAAGCTCAATATTTCATTTTTGAAAGCAACGAATATATGATCAACCACATACCTTCAGGAACGGATCCAGGATTTTCGCGAGGAGGGGGATTTCAAAAACATTTTGTCCACGTTTTTTTCTGGTCGGTCAATTTTGGTTTTCTGAGCTTACCCAAGCCACTAAAAATTTTGGCGCACTTATTTCCCCTAAATATAATTACATATTGCATCTAAGGCTCCTTAAAAGAATTTTTGGGGTTGGTCAGCGAAAAATAGTACCCCGAAAAAATCCCACACTGCATATTTTGATAAACTGGCCAATTTTGGACGCTACATTAAATTTAATCAAATCTCAAACAGTTTTGTAAGATTTTCACTATCCGTTGACAAGTTCAAATCACATGAGCGTCATGGCGTGAAAAGAAGTTTTTAATTTTTTGCCATTTTAATGCAGAGCTTTTCGGCTTAAACAATTGTGCTCAAATACTGTCAAGGAGTAGGTGAAAAATGCAAATTCGTAGGTCAACAAAATTAAAACTGTTGCTGAAGCTTTCAGCAAAACACAATGATTTTCAATTGCTTTACTGCAGTTTTTAACAATTAACTTTTTCTTAACTGTTAGTCCTAAAAACCTTTATTGGTAAAACCAAAAAAGTTGTATGCTCATTAAGCGGCAAGTTAGCACCAAGCAAATGAATAAACAAGACAAAAATAGATCCACTGATATAGCGCAATGGTCAGAAAACTGTCCTCAGATTGAGAGGAATTATCGAAAAAACGATTCGCGGCAAGATCAGAGAAGTTTAAAAAACGATGCATGACAAGTCGGAATATCCACAAAAAAGGATATATGTAGAAAACGGATTGCTCGGGAATTGATGAATGTGAAATTCGGATTAGCCTGGATTTTTCTGCACATTACCAACACTTTGCATCAATAGCAGATTTAGGGGGAGGGGTGGATGCCCCCCCCCCCGCTCAAAAATTCGACAATTTTTTCGAATTTTGTTTGAAAATCCGCCCACCTTGAGAAAATCTTAGACCCGCCCCTGCTTTGCATTGCCATTTTTGTTGATGCAATATCGGAGTTGGCAATATCGGAGTTTCAATATCGGCAATATTGGCAATATCGGCAAAAAATTGGCAATATCGGAGTTTCCGCAGGTTCAGGATACTTCGACCTTCCAATTTATTCTTTACTTTATTTTCCGCTCAAAAATGTTCAAAAATTTGACAGAACCCTCGACCCGCAAGTTGGTTTTTCAGATGCTCAGTTCCTATCTCTGTCATCTTTTTTCATAAATTGGGCAATTTATAAATCACATTATTAATGATTTTTCAGATTTTAGTTTTTTAGTCGAGATTTTTTCAAAATAACAAATATTTGACATTGTCCTATTCCTACGAGTTATTGAGACTCTCTGTGTGTCGGCTGTTTTTCGAAGCGCTTTTGATCCAAATTTCCACAATCAGGCCCACATTTTTGAATTCATGTTGGAAATGCTGATGACTCAGTTGTCAAAACTGGACCCCAAAATTCATAATTGGACGTATTAGATTGAACGCAGCACCGACTGATATCAATAACTCCAAGAATAAGGATGTTAAATGCATACACTTTCCAATGAATTTGTGTTTTAAAAGAGTTTACTTTTAATTTGTAAGAAATTGATTGTGAAGAATTGGCCAAATTATTTTGGTCCCAACGGGTTTTTTACTTTAATAAATAGGACAAAATCTAAATCCCAAAATTTGGCCATCACATCTTGTTTCAGAAGTCAGCCAGTCTGGTTTGAAAATATTTTACCAGTTGATCCAATTGTTCCAAATATTACAATACCAGATTCAAGGACCGCAAAACAACGAGGGATAGTTTCAGTAAGTTCGGAAATTTTAAAACTTCTATAAATTTACGACGAAATTATTCAGAGCAGATTTCGGAGCAATAACATGATATGATAAAAACTAATAATGAAATGATGCAATCTGCGATACGCAACTAGTACGACAATACTTTTAACGTAGAAAATCAAGTACCCGCCAGCAACACCCTTGCTAATTGCTGCTGAATTGGAAAAAAAAACGCACGATGAGCCACCGACAAAAAATGAAGCAAAAATAACAAATCCGAAATAAAATCTGGTTCCCAATTACAGGGCATTTGCTTTGGCTAGTGTAGTTAATTTTCTTCGGAATTAAAAAAAACCTTTGTCGACAATTTTTTTAAAATTAATTAGTACCTAATAAAAACTAGACAAAAAACTGTGCAAAACAGTTTTAAAAAGAAGAAAAAAAACAATAACTCCCTCCCGGTGAATTCCGGAGAAATTCCTGGGAATTGTAGCGTTCAGATATTTTCTCTTTTATGAATTTGCGGCAACTCAGCAAAAAAAGCTAATAATTCGGTCACAGACACTTCGCCAGTCTGGGGAACTTCTTGAAGAGGGACCGGATGAAAGAGAATATTGTAATTACCCAATCAGGATTTTGTATTCCAGTAACTCAAAAAAAAGTTTTAAAGATTTTTATAGTCAGGAAAACAACTCAGGATTTCAAAATTCCGCAATCGGTCTGACAAATGTTGTCTGGTCTGTCTTTATTGTTTTTGAAAACGCCTGGTCCGGCCTGATGGTTGTCAGCTCGCACACCGCCAGCTATTGAGTAGCAGAAATCATTCTTTTGTTAATTTTTTTTCCAAATTGCCACAAAAAACAAACTTTGTAGCGCTTTTATGCGACTCTGATTGGTCCAAATTTTTCTAACATATGGTGCCTTCGACATGAAAACGAAAACTTGTATTTTTTTTTGAAAAGTTCTGCCAAATTGAAAGAATTTATATTGTCACAGTTTTTCAGATTATACCGCTACCCCTTTTTTACTATTTGAGACTTGCAATTATTTTCGAGACTATCGCGAACGTTTCCAGATTTCGTCGGTGAGTAGAACCCGGCCAAATTTGATTTCGAAATTTTCGTCAAACCAGTATGAAGACATCTTTTGTGGAAAAAATTTCTGCATCGCAGGCAAAAATTGCTGTTTTTACACATTTGACAAATTTTGACCAAAAAAGCGCGTTTTTTGCGCGCCCTCTCCTTTCAAAATAATTACCTCTCAGACAATTCCGCCTTGACTGAGATTTAAGAAAAATAGAGATCTTTTTCCAATTCGCTGTTATATGTGAACAAATTTCTATTTTAATTGCTTAGAGGCTATTTCGTCAAACTTCTGAAAAAAATTCCATACTTATTTACAGACACCTTTTTAAACACAGAACTACTTCAAAAATTGAAGAAACAATCATTTCAAAGCGTCTTAACTAATACAAATTAAACAAAATTAAAATTTTGTTTAAACTAAAAACAAAAACCAATCTTAAAAGATCATTTGGCGCAATTATTCAGTTTTTGATGACCCGTCATGGTCAGTTTTGTCTAAAAGTTTCAAACATTCTTCGGCGATAGCTTTTATATTCAAGACTTGCTCTCTAAGTTGGTGGCACCTAATGGCATCTTCCGATTCCTCGGCTTGGATCTGGCTGTGGTCAGCTGTTTCTTCAATTGCACTTTCGTTCTGGAAGTCCGAATAGCTTCGCATGAGAATTGCTGCCTTTTCTAACTCTAGCTGACTAATTTGAGCCACAAGCAGAGCCTCTCGTTCTTTCTCCTCGTTCAGCTGAAAAACATTGGCTACAATGATTTGCTCAGTTCATTGATTGATGTTCATTCGTTAGTCATTGCTGAACAAGGTGACTCATTCTATCAAATTCAGAGTGGATACTCTATTAAAAACCATTCCATAATTGATGAAAAAGTTACAGTAAAAAAACTCAATAGAAATAGCCGTTAACTTTTGGAGCTCATGTAAGCAATAATAATAAAGCAATCATATGGATTCTCATTCGCTGTCAATGATATATCACACTACTCGACAATTGTCTGAAGCATAGAAAACGTTTTTTTTTGCTCCGAAAAGGTTTTCGGCTCTTACCTCCTTCGCAAGTTGTCGATTGAGGGCCAATTCTTCCTGATAAGAGGTGGTGCTTTTCACCAGTCGACTCCTCGTGGTTCGCATCTTCAGCCACCTCATAGTCTTCATTCCCATCGCCCTTCTCCGCCTCATTCGACGTCTCAATTCCATCACAACACAAATCTGAATAAGAAACACATTTACTGTTTTTACAAAACTAGGCTTTTCATCTAATCTACCCATCTTTGGATAGATTCAAATAGTTCCTTCAAACGCTTCGTTCCAAAAATGCATGACGTTAAGAAAATCCTCATTTGATTGCGAATCTAAGGTATTCAAAAGTCGTTAACTTCAAAAATTGTCAATAAAGTTAGAACTCAATGGGAAACAGCACTTAAGAAACTGAACTAAAGACCCAGAAGGATTTTTTTTCTAGTCTGCCAAGTTTACACAGTGATGTATTATCCATCAACTCATTAAAAGTAAATTTGAACACAACGAGGCCAAGCAAAGCTTTGCACCACTTGCGACACAAAACAAACATAGCTTGCAAAATGAAACGAAAACCGCAGCCACAAAAAAAATTAAAAAACTAGATCTCTCATAATTTTCACGTTTGGCTCAATTTGTCATGAATTAAAATCAATTCGAAAAAAATTCAACTACGACAATTGAGTATTATATTAGCATTGCAACAAAGATTTACGAAGCGTTCACGAAGCCGACAATACTTGAGCAGACACCCATAAAGCCGAAAAAGAAAAATTTTCATTAACAAAAAAAACTTAAAATTCAAAAAAAATTGAAGCCCACTCGCTCAAAACACACACACACACTCAAGAAAATTATTAGCTCATAAGACGCAATTTGAGCTCACAAAACGATATAATATCAGCCGAAACTTTCGAAGCCGTTCAATAATGAATTTAGAAGATTTAAGATCATCAAAAATTGAATTGAACAAACGGGCAAACTTATTTACGAGTAAAAATGAGGCACCCTGTTGCAATGCCCTATGGAATCCGAATTGTTCAGACTTGTTTTTTTTCGAAAGTGAGACAGCTTTTTTGGAATCCAAATCATAACAAATTCAATAACGGTTTTAACTGATACCACACTTGTCCTCCTACGAGATTTGTTTGAGGTCGTCAAAATCGGGCGAAAGAAACGAGCTAATCAAAATGCCTTCCCCTCTACAAGAGGGTGGTCGGAACAAAAACCATGTCATCAATATTAATTTTTACGCTCTATTGATCATTTTGTTATAGCAGAGCGTAAAATGCGTTCCATTCAGCAAAAGAATTCCAAGTGAAATTTAAAAAAATCAACAGTCAACATGCGAAAAAAAATATCAAGTGTGAATAACTAACTTACTTTACCTGAAAAAAAACAGATGATCTAATTAAGTCTTCTTTTAGTTTATTGACACTTGAAAACTTACATGCAGACAATTACACTAATTTTGCATTTGATAATTGAAATCCAAATTGTACATCATCTATGCAATTAAATTAATTCACGAAAAACAATGATTTTCTGATATCGAATTGCAATAATTTAACAGTTTATAGGATGCAAATTTCTTGTTTCAACTTAATTTATGATTTCGAAATCATCAACTTGGTTAATGTATTAACCGTTAAAGAGTGGGATTTTCACACAAGACTCGCAAAATAAACACAAATTTAATTTAAAAAAAAAAAACTGGGGCTGAATAGTCACCTTCCTACTAATCAACTTGAAGTAATTTCCTCAAACGATCTGGTTATTTTGAGGGACCCCTCTCGAGGTAGAACCTAAACCGAATTAGTTTTGTTTTTCCATTAGAAACTCCATAGACACTTCAGAAATCAACCTATGTTTTTAGCAGTGATTTTTCTAGGGCAGTAGCTTGGCCTAGGACACTACAGATGGGGGGGGGGGGAGGTTTTGGGGGTATCAAATAGTTTACATAAGCAATAAAATAAGACCACTGCGATGAATAAAATTCAGAGACAAGGCGAGTTTAAAATCGAAGAAAATACAAAATACTAAAATAAGCTTTCAAAACTAAAAATCAAATAAAATTGAGACAAATAAAATACTCAATTTTAAGTCGACAAAACAGAAAAAAAATCCGGACGCGAAAAGAAATTAAGAGGGCAATTAATATCTGACACAGGCCAAGTTGCGCTCCGCAAACTCAAGCAATAAAACGACACAAAGCATCTTAAAAAGTTAAATAAAAAAAGAAGGAAGCCTGTGACTTAGACATTTGGAGTCTCACGTTCTCGCGTCTGCACCATTGAAAATTATCTACAACGAGCCAGCAATGATGCAGCTATAGATGCTAATAAATTGCCAATGCAATGCAGCAGAAATTCCCGAAATATAAATAAAACGAGCTATTTGCGGCGTTGAACCTACGATAAGTAGCTTAGGAATCTCACGTACTTACCTGAGCCACGAACGCTTGACTAACGGCAAATACTAGCCACCAATATTACAGAGAACAGTTGCTATGAAATTTCCAACGCTACAGATTGCGATTATAGCAGAAGAGCCACCATATGAGCACTTTTATTTGCTAGGTAGGCTAGGAAAAAAATGCATCGTATTATCCCACTACGCTCCGCATGTGTAAATACGCAAAATTTAGTGATTATGAGATCAAGCAGAAATAGTGACCAGCCTCACTCCGACCTGTAATGACTTGATCCAAACACTAACCACCGCAATCTGCCTAATATTATCTTTTATATACCCTTGAATTTTGTATATTGCCATAGTTGTTTTACGTATATGTTACGATGTACAACACGAAGATAAAATATGCTCAGCGTTATTAGTGTCTTGATCGTTGGAAGTTTCAATGCATTATGACCACTTTAAATAGTGTATGAAATGATACTTCGTTTTTGTTGCAATCATTAAAAAAAGGGGGAGGACTTTTGTAATCGGATGTGTTTTAGTTTTTTTCCCGCAAAATCAAGTATACCACAAATAATCATCGAAATGGTTCGAGTGATGGATCAGCCCTTTCAGTCGTGATTTGCACGACATTAGAATGTTGAGAAAATATTCCCCAGTGTTGAGAAAAAATCCTTAGCAATTTTTGATTTTTGGTCCAATTTCGAGCTAATAAGGTGAGCGAGCAGGCTATTTTGATGTTCATCCAAAACCAATTACCGCAAACAATCATCGTAATAGGTGAAGTGCTGTATCATATCAAAGCTTGTTATAGAAGGCTTATTATAGAAGGATAAGCTACGAGACTTTAGATTAACTCCAGTAAATTTATTTTTCGAAGGGTTTCTTTTCTTAGTGTTATCTTGAGAATAAATAATTCAAAAAATTTTCGGCAAAAATTTTTTTTTAAATTATTCTAGTCACTTTTCGACAAAAACCGTTGACCGATTTGCCTTTCTACTGAGACTGTTGAACATGCCTAATTTCTATAATTTGTTCAGATCCTTTTATCACACGACTCATAAAAACCAACACTAATTTGAAGAAAAAAAAACATGAAAAAGCCTTCTAGGTATTTTTATGAGTATGGTCGGAACATTTTGTACAACTTGCACAGCAACCGGATATCCTTGCTAGCATTTTAATTCCCATTGGCTACTACATTATTGTTCTTTTCACTGACCTGTCTACTTGCACGGTTGTCTACACCCAGCTACGTTTTATGCGAGTTGGATTGCAACAAGTAACCTCGTAGTACAACACAAGCGTTTTCCTTAAGAATCAGTTCCTCAAGTGATATTGGGACGAGCAAAATCTGTAACTTTTAGAAAAAAAAGGATACAATAAAAACTCGTATTCAATTTTTCGGCTGAGCGACAAAAGGCCCTGAGTCAAAAGCCCCCAGCGCAAAAGTTACATGTACATGAACACCTACATGCAAACTCCCAAATAAATTTAATAGTGGATTTTCAAATATATGGATGCTTTTTTCGTTTAAAAAAAGAATACAAACAATGAATTTCTATCAACAACAAATAAAATATCTGTAAGGGATGATACACACAGTAAACACCCAAATCATATTAAATTAGCAGAAATTGGTAGCTGCGCGCATTGCGCGAAAGTTTTCATCTAAATTCGTATTTAATTTAACTATAAGTCTATATCCGCAACCCAGCAGAGTAAATTTAGATCAGATCAAACTGGAATCAGATATGTAAATTCATTTAACAAGCTGAAGCAAACTTGGTCCCTTCGTTTCTTAGCGGCACGACTTAGTCATTGGTTAACTGTCTCTGGTACTGAAAATAAGCTTCGAAGTTAGACTAAGTGGTAATTTCTCGAATATTCACTTCTAGAATTATCATTCTCTTGTTCGGATGACGACTGACTCGAAGTTTTGGCAGCCGGAAAAAGTGGACCACTTGCGCTCGTTGATCGCTGCGTTGGATCCCAATACCTAAACAAACTCGAAACTAATTCAACAAATCTTCAACCAGACAAGAAATGTACAAGTTACTTCGAACGACTTGGTACCAAATACGTTATCCAAATCGATTCACACATCTTTCTTGAATTCGTTTCTTTAACGAATAATGCAAAAAATCACAAATTGCCTGTTCGCTAGATTCGAGTGTTCCATCTGGGTTTGGATAGCGTTTCTGGACGTCATGGGATCCCCCTCCACCATCATCGTCTGTCCACTCTTCAGGGCATTCTTGATGATGGATATCAGCTGCTCCGGATCCTGCATCAGGTTTTTGTATTCCTCACTCGAGCCCACAGCCAACAGATGCACCTGGAAACATTTCAAAAATCAGGCGACTGTTTTCAGTTTACTCTTCACTAGATCACCTCCCTCCCACCCCCCCCCCCCCCCCCCGGATCGTATCTGGTAAAAAAATAACCACCCCATGCGGAGAATTAAATCAATGGCTAAGTATATGGAGATTTGGTACCAAGAGACGAATAGAGCATTTTGAAATGGGGGTAGTTAAGAAACCCCTATTTACCTTCAAACTAGGATCTCTTTATTTAGAAACATCGCACACAGGCCGAAAGAATATGACTCACTTTCATGATGGCTCCCTGTACAAAATTTAACATAAATTCAATTCATTGTTTTCAAATATGTTGTTTTTTTTCTGGTCAAATCAGTTTTTTTTTTAGTTTTTACTAGTAGAATTGAGAACTTGTTGTTTAGACATCCATTAGACTAAGATCTTCATACCTCCATGTCCTGAACGTCTGCCCCTGCGACCGTGTCTCCCCCCATCAGCTCGTCAGTGTCCAGCTCAATCGACAACTCATCAGTGGGCAACTCAATGTTGTCATCATCCATCTCAACAACCTTCGACAGCTGTGTCAGCTTCACCTTCAGGAATGTCTTGGCGGACCCCGTCCCTTTCACATTGTGGAAAACTCTCTTCGTCACAGTTCCTGATTTACCACCTCTTCCAAGCATCACATTTTTGTATTGTTCCAAAGATGACAACTTAGGAGTCGTTTCATCCCACCTTTTCCACATTCCATTGCCTTTATTTTTGAGCTTCAAATTCTTCAGCTTAGTCATGGAGTCCAATCCAAGAGAGCTTTGCCCTAGAGGGTCATTTGATTTCATATTTTGATAGTTTTGCAGATTTTGGATTTTCAGCAGCTTCGCTTCTGCAAGCTCGGTGAAGAAGGCTTTCGATTGCTTCATCGCAACCCTCAATGCTTTTACAATTATTTCTAAAAACAGGCAAAACCCTTTAATACCTAGGATAAACACAATGTTTGCAGTGATATGATTTAAAACCGAACAGAATATTCTTCCATAAAGTCTGCTCAGAACGTACGTTAAGAGCTGTTTCACTTCATCAACCAGCAAATAATCTCTTTTCACGTTTTTCTACTCCAATCAAGCAACTACAAACAGTCAATTCGTGAGTGAACCATTTACATTTCTGCCAACCTTTCGATATATCCACGTTGTCTTTAGTCCCGTCTGCAACCTGTACTTTCAACCCTTCATACTGTTTAATCAGTTGAGCCACTGGATGCTCCTTGGAGATCTCCAGTTCAAAACTAAAAGTCAACTTGTCAAAGGCAGCTTTGAGTTCTTCGAAACTCATTTGGTCAATTTCGGCGTTGGGAGGCAGGATGCTGGCGTGAATGTCGACCATTGAAATCAGTCTCTGGAATGACAGAAGGTAGTCCTGCAGCTCCTCGTAGTGGAAAGTGATTGCTGTGATTCCATGTCTGCCCAAGTCTAGTGATTTTCCCACTTCGCCTCTCATTTCTATACGCACAAAACACTTGGATGTTCTACATACTATAAGAAAAAACTTAAATTAATTTTGATCAATTTTGACTAATTATTAGGAAAAGAACAAGGAAAAAGTAATTCTTCTTCAAATTTGGTACAATTTGACTGTAACGCAAAATCATTTAATACAAAAACAACGTACTATCTCGAATGAGAGCATCTTCAAAATCCCTCACATAATCTGTTTTCTTGAACACTTCAATTCCACGTTGAGCCAGTTTGACAGCCAGTACAGCAGAAGTCAGGAACTCAGGTGGCGTCTCCTGGGACTCCAACCTCCTTTCCAACTCCTGTCCTGCAGCCTTTACTTTCTCCTCATACAGCTCTGTCATAATCCGTACTTTCTTCAATTCTATCAATATATTCTGACCTTCTAACTCCAGTTCTTTCATTCGCTTAAATTCTTCGTGTTTTCTGTCTTTCTCAAAAGCAGTTTGATCTTCAGAACTCTTAGCGTCTGTTATGTCTTTTGCAACGTCTTTTCTGCTGGAAGCTTGATCTGCTTTCATATTTATTTTAGACTCTTCTAAGCCCTTTCCCATGCCTCCAATTTCGTCAAAAAGACTTCCCTCGCGCAAGGCTTTCAACTCTGGGTCGTTTTTGAAAAGATTTCCTTCGAGCATATCTTGAATGTGTTCTCTCTCTTCGGCATTTGGGTCTAGAACTATTCTCGATTTAGCTAATCCCCTTTGTACTTCTTCCGTATTGATCATCTTCCCTATATCCATCTCTTTAGGTTGTGTTACCAATGGTTCCGTTTCTTCAGATTTCAACGTAGCAGTTACGCTTTCGTGATCCAATTCTCTAGTTACTTGCGTGTTCTTCAATCTCTGAGGCATGCTAGTTTCGCTGCCTAAACAGGAAATGAAAGACTATACGTGATTGATATTAGTGCTGAATTAATTTAACCGAAAAAAGAACAAAAATGAATACCTTGACCGAGTTTTTCTCTAGTTTGTTTGCCATTTAGACAAAAAGTACTTTGACAGTAATTTTGCATAATTCGATTCTATGTAAATGGGTAATTTTTTGCTCCTTTCAGTCAACGAAAAATTTAACTTTAAACTAGCGTGTAACGCACCTCCGGTGCTTCGAATTTTTGACAACTCATAACAAATCGCATATATAGGAAATAAGTCCTGCATTCTTTGAGTGCACTTTGGCAGCAAAACCCAATTACCGACATTAATTTCAATTTTTTTCTTCAATTTTATTTAACTCATTTTTTGAAAAACCAAAAAAATGTTCTATATCTAAGTTCATTAATGACATAAAAAAACATCACATCCTGGAACCTAAAACCAATTGAGCAGTCGCATTTGGACGCAAGAATTACAACTCCGGAGAGTACTCTCAGTAACCCCACTACATGGTTAGGAATTTCAAATTATGAAGAAAAAAAATTAAATTTCAGTTTTCTGAAAAACTTTTGAAAAAATCAAAAATCGTCATATCTGGAAAATTACAAAAAAATTGAGCAGTCATATTTGGAGGCAACAATTGCAACCTCTGAGAGTACTCTCACAGTGCCCACTCTTCACAGCGTTGGGAATATCAAAATCAGAGAAACTTCAAATTTATGTTTTGTTAAAATAAGTTTTTTTGAAAAACCAAAAAAAAATTTTTTTCCTTTTTGACAAAAAAGTGCACCATATTAATTCTGTCAAAACACTGAGCACTTTTTGCATCATAAGCCAACCCAATTAGAGAAAAATATGTTGAAATTTCAAATTTGTTCTATTCATTTTGTCCTCCTAATTTAAGTCAACATTTTACACGCAAATATGCTGCGCTCAAACTTGAAACACAGGCAAAGCCGAGCTTGGCACGAGTTGCGATACATTACAAATATATCATTGCGAGTCAGCCTAAAAAAATTGAGCCGGTCAAAATAACAAACCTACATCTACCAAAAATTTCAAATCAAGATTTTCTTTGCAATTCATTTTAGAACATAGCCAACTGACAATTGAAAAAAAGTAAAGAACGCAAGGAAACAGAAAAAAAAAACTGACTGATTTTTTGAAAAAAAATTTCATCTTTTGAATTTTAAAAATATATGCCCTTAAAACTCTTAAATTTCACGAACAATTTTTGATGGGTGCTGTTTTGATAAAACTAACCCATTTTGAGACTATTGGATCAATAGGTAAACTTTTTATTTCGCTTAGAAATCTGATAATTAAATTACATTTTCGAAATTAGTACACTTTCGATTTGTACACTTTCGCTGTTCGATAGTGGAGATTTAACCAAGGAAATGAACTGAACTCAAAAAGAAGTCAAACCGCGCGAAAAATCTAAATTGAGTTTCAGCAAATTTAATACTTTTTCCTAGAAAAACACAAAAAACCACCAAGACCTATAAAAGAGGTCTTGCGTTCATTGAACTGTCTTGCGTTCAAGTTCACTTCATACTCTTATAAAGGTCTCGGTGGTTTTTTGTGTTTTTCCAGGAAAATGTCTCAAATTTGTTCAAGCTCAGTCTTGCGTTAATTGAATTTTTTTAAGTTCAGTTCATCCTCTTATATAGGTCTCCGTGGTTTTTTGTTTTTCCAGGAAAAAGTCTCAAATTTGTTCAGGCTCAATTTTGATTTTTCGCGCGGTTTCACTCCTTTTTAAAATCAGTTCATTTCCATTTAAAGTTCAGTTCATTTAAGTTCAGGTTCACTACATTCATTAAATCTTTAAAATATTGTCAAAGCGTACAATTATTGGCCTCACCTAGAGTTAGAACAAAACTTAAAAAGCAGTAACTAAGCCGGCAATATTCGGGTGAACGACCTTTGCGCCAAAAAATGATGTCCTAATCTGAGCATAAGAAACGGATACTGGAAAATTAGAAGTGCCAGTCAGCATAAAAAATTAATTGTTACTCAACAGAAGACGCAATATGAAGCAACAATGAAAAAAAAAAATAAAGAAAAATTATACAAAAATGGACCTTTATTCTCTTGCTGTTCGATAGTGGAGCTTGCCTTTGTTTAAATAAATAATTCCTTTAGCAAGGAACTGAAGAGAATCAAAAGTCAAACTACGAAAAATCGAACTCCGGCAAAAAATCGTCACAACCTAAACCATTAGGTTCATTGACACTTATAAAATATAGCCAATAGACAGTCGGAAAAAATCAATGAACGCAAGTAAACAATAAAACAAATACTGACCTTTTTTGAAAAATCTCAAATTTCGAATTTCCAAGAAAAAAAATAGATAGCCTTAAAGCTCTTTAAATTTTTAGAACGATTTGATTGCCACTTTTTGATGATATTAATCCAATTTGAAAACAGTGGATCAATAAGTAAATGTTTGTTTCGTTGGGAAGTCTGATAAATAAACTTCATTTTCGAAATTACAAGTCGATTAAGTTGTTTCGCGCCCTTTACTTTTTCGCTGTTCGATAGTGGAGTTTGCCTTTCTTTTAACAAATAAAATGAGCTGAACTTAAAAAGAAAACAAACCCAGACAGTTGGCAAAAGCAATGAATGCAAGGAAACAAAATAAAACTGACTTGTTTTTTGAAAACAAATATGGCCTCAAAGCACTTGGACTTTCTAGAAAAAATTTATGATTTACACTTTTACTGTCAAAAGTACCCTATTTGAGAAAACTGTATCAATTAGTGAAAATTACGTTTCGCTGGGAAATCTGATAACTAAATTCCATTTTCGAAGTAAGAAGTAGATCACGTTTTCGTGACCTTTACACTTCCACTGTTTGATAATGCAGTCTGCCTTCCTTCTTTTAAAAAAGAAAATTAAGTGAACTTGAAAAGACTTTAAAATTCAAACCGCAAAAAATCAAAACTGAGCGTGAACAAATTTTAAGACTTTCCTAAAAAACCAAGATCTATATAAGAGTACTCACTACGTTCATTACTTTTAAAAATCAAAAAACGAAACAGTAAATTTGAGCCTGCACAAATGTTATGTCTTTTCCTGGAAAAAAATCATCGCGACCCATTTTAGAGGAGTCTGAACTATGTTCTTTAAAATCAAATTTTGAATACAGAGGTGAAGTGGAGCTTCGCAACACTTGCAATGCAAAAAAAAATATTTGAAAAAATAACTTGATAAGTTGAAAAAGATACAGCTACAAAAAACTTCATGGTTGTATAGAAAGAAAATCATAAACAGCCTTTAAAAAATGCAAATCAATTTAGCGTCAACATATTTTTGATCGAAACCTGTTTGAGCCAAAAACAAAATTGTTGTCATAAAAAACTGTTGCAAAAAATCTGTTCAAATTGGATCAAAACACATGCTCTAGAAAGTAAGCCAATTAAATCCCTCCCTATCAGATAAAAAAAGGGCCGTTCAAAACAAACGGAAAAGGAACCAACAGAAACTAGGACAAAAACCACTAACCAGAAAAAAATTGAGAAGATTTTTGGAACAATAATTACAACCTGAAACGGGCTTTACCTAATTACTACTTGCACTATATAAGTTTCATTTAAACTTTCACGAAATTGAGCATGTCAGAAAATGAAGGAGAACAGATATGAAATGAGTTCTGTGAACAAAGTTGTTTACGGGAAAAAAGTCCAGTACTCGATTGCAAGGGTAATAAAACGGGTAATTAAAATACAAACATGCCTATATCCATCTTTTGCATTTCATTTTCAATAGAAGCCGCTAGGATATAAGTCCTACGCAAGGCCGCCGGGAGATGAGTCCTGTGGGCAAGTTATTCCTATCAATTTGTTCAATTTTCCTCTCAATATAAATGTGAAAACTTTCCAACTATTTTTTTTCTGGACACTGGAAAACACGACATAGTGTGAGAAATGAAACAAATTCGATGAACACTTCACCTGCAGCTTGTTCTGTCATTTCTCCCGATTCCTTCGTTTCAATATTTTGTGCTGTTTCATCCTCAATGCTCTCTCTTTCCTTTTTATTCACCAGAGCAACCTGTGGCACACATGATATCTTTTCGAATTGCTGTTCTTTTTCCTCTGCCTTTTTGAACACTGCCAGATCACAAAGAGTGGGGGTGTTGACAACTATGACGTAGCGACAGGTGCTTGGCTCCGTGATGCTAATTTTTAACTGTGGAGCACAGTAGAACTTCACTTGAGCCTCCCTTGCATGTCCTAAAGAGAACGTTTCATATTATTTAGATCTGACAATTCAGTGATATTTTACTTCAAAATTTAGTTGAAAGAAAATCATTTCTAATACTCAAGAACACGTGAAATTTGTTCTGATTTCCAACTATCATCCTTATTCTATTTCACCTGTCAGTTCGCACTTGGACCCATTATTGTAATACTGTGAATGGTAGTGGCCATTCTTCTGTTTCTTCAGGGCATTCATGTCAAACGTCTGGTTGTCCCATACTGTCTCGTGTGAGAAATGACCCAGTGACAGAGAGACGAACCCTGGCCCATTCGAAGTTGATTGTCCATTCTTCTCGCGTGGCTCTGCGTGGAACTGCATGATTTGAGTGCCAAAACAGAACTCATAGGTCCACCAGCCTTGGTTCACTTGTGGACACGCCGGAGTTGATCCATCACTACTCGTAGCCGTAAGTGCTTTCAACCTCCGACTCACCTCCTCGTTTGTGATTCTGATTTTGCTACTCACTTCTGATTTATTAGCAGTGGTCGAGAGTTCCTTGGTTGCAGGTAGATAGCACACAAACGTTTGTCCTGAGCGAGATTTCGTTGTGACTGTTTCCAAGCTACTTGATATTGCATCGTCCACAAATTTTGAAGTCTGGATATCGTTTATATCCAAAATTGACAAACTGTAACGCTCGAGAGGCAAAGTAGACAATGTGTCATCTAGAATTGAGGCTGTTGTTAGCAAGTTACAGAGAAAAATGATGAAAATCGTAATTGAGATATCGAAGCGCCCGGCTGTCAAGCGGGTCACCATTCTATCTGAAAACGTTTTTTTTTTTACTATGGAAGTTTTCAAAAAAATACATCAGCAAACGACATCTTCTTTCTGCAAAATCAAGTTGAACCACGATTTGTACTGAAACATCTTGGTTTTCGAACAGAAATAAATTTAAACAAAAACTCTACACGAATACAAATTTAAAATTTTGACTCTTTTACATAACTTTATTGCAACATAATCAAACCAATGAGATGTGACCTTTTTCAGAGATGTCCTTATACAAAATTTATAGTATAGCGTTCCTTTAAAACAGCTTATAGGTAGAACAAACTTTATTGATCGTTTGCCTACTATAGCGGCTTTTCTATTGGTAGAATTGCCAGCGGATTGTCCTTAGATTACATTTTTTCAATTTTGAACATCACTCAATACATCATTTAGAGCTGTTTTTCTTAAATTTGTTGTTCGTCAGCTTCAGTTAGATTGAAAAAATACAGAAACTGGTTTTATGCATCATTTTAGCCCTTTGTCGGAATTTGGTTTTGACTCATGGCTTATAAGTAGCTCTATAATCAAGATAACTATAGATGGTACAATTATATACACAGAGACGAAGCAGAGCTTCGCACCACTTGCAATACAATACAAATGCGCACCAAATGCCGAAAAAAACTAGAGCTATCAAAATGAATAACGCCGAAAATACCTTGTAGCAAACACTTTTAATCGAAAAAATCCAGAAGACTTAAGATTAATGAAAATTTACCCTCAAAACACAATCACTCAGAAAATGTCATTTGCTGTAAGATGAAACAATTTTCAGCCTGTAAGCTGATATAACATAGGCCGAAATCTAATAAACCCATAAAAGGAAAACTAAAAAAAAACGACAAAAATTCAAAAAAATTGTTTCTATGTCATTATTGCAACTGGAAGCACTTTTGTTTCCATCGATTTTTTATAAACAACTGCGTGATTCATCAACACCTGATGCTCTTCCCTTCTTTTTATTCACTTCCAATGAATGGTGTAGAAAATTCGGTTTCGGTGGCTTGTTGGAACACTTCAGTACACCCCTCGCTGATATTTCCTTACTTACCTCAGTAAAGCACCGATACAAACAATTTGCTACTGACTGCTTGGTCAATTTACAATTGAAAGGCAAGCACACACAAGAGTATTTCAGAAGAGGCATACAATCATTAAAATTATATGGCAAAGAAATTCGGCTTTTCTCCAAAGAAGTAAGTTTCAGCACAATCGACAATTTCAGAAGAGGCATACAATCATTAAAATTATATGGCAAAGAATTCGGCTTTTCTCCAAAGAAGTAAGTTTCAGCACAACCGACACAGAATGCAATGTCAGACAACTTGCATCCGCAATGAGCTCCGAAATGGTAACTTTTTTTCTAACAAAAACGTTTAACCAAAGGAAACATCCAGGTGTCGCTCCAGTACTTGATGCTTCAGATTTTTTTTACAGAGATTGTTCCGAGGAAATTCGTAGAGGCTATCATTTCCCATGTTGTAACGCTAGTCAGATGTTGGAGTAGGTCTGTTAGATATTTCGTAAATCTTCTTAGATTCTCTAAGGAGAAGATACTAGGAAATATCAAAAAGATTTGGGGCAGAGCAGAGTTCCAAACGAAAGCAGGAAATTTGCCTCATTACCACATTTTGTTTCAATCATCATTCAACCCATTTAGATCATATAACGAAATGGACGAAATGTATGAAAAATGTGTGCGCATTCATACCCATTCATGTGAGAAGAGTGGCTACAGATGTTTACAGCGCAAAGACCTGGACGGCAAAAAAGTTTGCTGAACACCACCACAGCCGCCTTCACATAATCATTGGAAACTGAACATTAGGCAACAATATCCAGGTGAAGCAATTGAATTTCTGCATGAATTAGGTTTTGCTGACAAAACAGAATATGGTTTTACCGTTAAAGATCCATTCGTTTGCGACAAGTGGATGTATGCTGCCTCTTCAGGTGAACATCTGCTTCCCACGTGCGTCCAATTGTTTACAATATGTGAATCTTGTACAACCTTACTGCACTGTACCGGTCAATTCTCATGCAATTACTTAACTAGATATGCAACCAAAACCGAAGAACATGCTGATGGAAAGATATCAAGCGGTCCGGATGGCAAGGGTTTCAGATTAAAAGACGACGGGATACAAAATAAAAATTTGGCATCTGTGAAATTCATCTTGGAAAAGGAAACGCAAAATAAGAGAAACATGGAACACATAAGTTGTCATTTGGTGGCACTAACTGAAAGTATTTTTTGGTTGGTAGGAGAGCCGTATGTTTTTTCAAATATGACTTTTAACCATATCCAAAACATACCAGTCGAACACAGTTGTTGCGGCCAGAAATGAAACCTTCAACCCTCAATATAAGTTAAACAAATGCAACTTAAGAAACCACTTCCCAAATATACCACTGTTTCGTCATATTACCTTGAATCAAAAAAATCTTCTCGAAGATCATTGTAATTCGTCAGAAATATTATACACCATGTCCGCGTTTAGCTTACGACCACCTGAGCTTTTAGTTGTCTAACATAAAAATTTATTCACGGTTTTTCATAGACAAAAAGTGCAAGTACACACCATCTCAGTTAATAAAAGAGTTCAAGACTTCTAAAACCATTCCTTGGATTTGTTGCATGGGCAGGCAAGTTTTGTTGAGAAGGTCAGCAGTTAATGCTTTCTTGAATGATTTAGATTATTAGAGAAAAGATTGTCTCCTGGCTATAATGAACTCCGATTCCCTCAATTATTACGTTGATAACAATGAGGATTCATTTTTGTTACCAGAGATTGTGTTGAAATTCATTACTCCACGTAATGCTTACAATTTTTTAATAGGCTTCCTTCTTAGGTTTGTTTGTTTCCATACCGAAATAGATTTATTCTCATCTGTAAATATCATTGATTCTTATCGTTATGCCAAATTAATTGAAAGCAAATCATCTTACACTCCAAGCGATGTCAATAAATTAGTTAAGTTATACTTACTGAATGTTTTCCGTTATCAACTTGGAGGGGTTCTGCCATTCAGTTCGAAAACAATTGTGGCAAAAAAAGTTTTTCGTGATTTACTTCACGTTTCGTTTGCTGATACTTTTTCAACTCCAACTGTTCTTATAAATGATATACACTCGCAGGCTATGGTACATGTTGAACAGTTCATCAAATCTAGTCAAGAACACATGCTGGAAAGAGTTAGTGAACTTGGAATAAATAATTTACAAGTTAATCCTCTTGATTGGAAAACTTACTGGGAACCACAGTTCGTTATATGTGATGGTCAACAACAGTAATCGTTTGATGAACCAGAGAAAGTCTTAAAGAAAATAATTTCAGCTGTTAATAAGAAATTTGGAACTGGTTGTTCAAAAGTAAATCACCAAGCAATTTCAGGTCAGTCAAATGAATAACTACGTCGGACAAATTTTGTTTTTTTTTTCAAAAATTATAAAACTTAAGGAAGTTTCCATTAATATTGGGGAAAATGAATCACAGGACTTTTGCTCCAGTAATTTAATTTTTAAAACGTTTTTTCAAAAATTCACACTAACATTCTGTAAACAATTGATATACTACGAATTATTTTGTTTTTATAGGTAATCCAGGAACAGGTAAGACTCATTTGACGGGAATAGTTATGGCTCATGCTCTGTGCAATTCCCTGATCTGTTTTGTGTCAAGTCTTGCATCACGGAGATCAAAATAATTGAGAGGTGAGCATATCCATCGGTTTTTCAAAATTGCGTTAAGAAACACAGATGCAGAGTCGTTGGCAAATGAAGCTCTAACAAAATTGAACTACGACCACAAAAGAAGAACGCTTTTACAATTCCTGCAGGTACTGATTTTAGAAGAAATCAGTCTAGTACAAGCTGAGCTGTTTGCTGCGATTGATATAATTTTGCGGAGTGTAAAAGGAAATGATTAATCTTTCGGTTGAACAATGATCATAGCCAATGGCGATTGTTGTCAGGTGCCGAATATAGCAGGACGCAATATTTTCGAAGCCTGTAGTTTCCTGTTCACATTCGACTTCCATTTTCTACAACACTTCGTTAGAATGGTTGACCCAATAGGACAGCGGTTGTTGACTTGATTAGAGAAAAGACCGATAGACCCTGATGGTATTCCCGAGGTTGCCGATATAGTTTCCAAAAACTGTAAATTAGTGGACAGTTGGTCTGATTTGAAGAATTCTGTGATTATGAAAGTTTTCGGAAAACGGAAAGCAGAGAGGCGAGCTCTTCAGAATCATTTTCAGGAGATGTTTTCTAAATTTGGTCAGCAAACCAGACTGATTAAATCAAGTGATCAAATTTCGAACGAAGGGAGTCACAACTGGTCAACGGCTTCCAATCAGGTATGTTGTTTTTATAAACGCATCTGTCTTTTTCCAAAAAATTTTCAAATAATGTTAAAATACTAACTAAAAACGGAAAAAATTATAACTTTCACCGAATGACGCATAAGCAAAGTAAACAGTTACATACTATCCAGAAGTTCGAGAATTTTTTGAAGTGTCCTTTTAATATTAGTCATCGAAATTTCTGAATGCGGAATCAACCGAATTTGACGAAATTTTATTTTATCCTCGCGCAGTGTTCCGGGTAACGATTAATTTGGGAGGTCTACAACAAGGGCAACTCTGTATTGCAGATTTCGACCGCATCAGATCAGACGCACATTCAATATATGTTGCTGACACACTTGACGCTGCAGTGAGCAGGTAGTAAGAAGTAGTTGATACCTGAACTGGATATAAGTAACTGAAAAAAACTGCTGGATATGTTCACAGTTATAAAGGAAATTTTTTACGTAGAATTCAGTATCCTTTAGCTAATTATGTCGCGTTGACATTTCATAAGCTGATGGGTGATACCTTAACATAGCTAGCGTCAGTAATTTCGGCAAACGACACGGAATTTGCATTGTGCCTCATATCACAACTTTACGTTTTAATTAGTTGCGTAAAACACCTACATCAACTGA